TGGATTTAGCTCCATTCACCACAACCCTCTCGGTTGTGCTCGGCCATCCAGCCAGTTTTTAACCCAGCAGCCCACAAGCAGGGATATAGCACCCAAGATGCCTTCTGCACAAGTGCCTTGACACAGGCTTTATGCAAGTGCAGTGCAAGTGTCAGGAGTATATCTGACTTCCCTCTCTCCTCGCTAGAGCCCTGGCACGTCCCTTTCCAGAAAGCCAGCTCTGGATCCGCTCCGGGCACCATGTAACTCTCAGGCTGGCGCTTGTGCTTGCATTAAGGTTATCTGCCAGCAGAACGTGGGTGAGCTGAGACCTTGATGTCTCTGCCCCGTCACCTGTCCCTGGCACTCACCTGCTTGTCCCTCAGGGGCTGAATCACTTCCCTGATGCAGAGATCCAGGTCACTGATATAGTCTTTCTCCGTCTGCAGGAGTTCTGCGATGATTTTCACCCTCCTGGCCATCATCCGTCTGCTAACTTGTTCTTCGTCTTCCTGCAGTGAAGTGGCAGGGGATGAGGACTCTGCCTGCGGGGCCATTTTTTCTGTTTAAAAGAGGAAGGTTTGTAAGGACCATTGTAATCCCACATGCTCACCCAGCTTGCCCTGTATGACCATGGGGGAACGTAACTGGTGCCTGTTGGAAACTCCCAAATCTCCATGGAGAGCAGGAAAAGAAGCATAAAAAATGGCAACCCTAGATCAGACCGAGTGTCATCCCATTTTCCTCCTCTAAAAGCAGACATGGATTTTGAGAAGGAAACCATCCTTTTGGGCCATAAGGGAATAACCTAACACCAGCTCCTCCTGCTTTGCTGTTAGGTATGTGGGCAGACATTTTCCATGGTGCACAGGAGTGTCTGATCCTTGTCACACCAAAATCCAAGTATAGACGATGCCCTTCTACTTCTTTGAAAACACAGTCTCGGTCTGACATCTATTATGATTTGGGGGATGGGAGAAAATGTGTTCCTGTGGAAAAAAAAGACTGTGTTCACCAGAAATAATCTTTGCTGGCATAACCTTTGCTCTGTAGAATATAATGGTGAGTCTATTCATGAGAGGCTGAAGGCTGCAAGTACTGGAAGACAGTGTTACTAATGATGATGATGAAACCTGCAATTCTGTTGAAAACTATTTTTTGAAAAGGGTCATAGAATTAAAGGGAAAACCTTTAATGATCAATAACAAATATTTCTTGGAACAAGAGAGATCACTGGGATCAGGACACTCCTAATTATTTTTCCATACTTAAGACCTAGCATATCTGAGTTGTTCCAAATACATTGAAATGTGAACAAGTCTTCTACAGATAGGTAATTTATGTATGCTAGAGGACCTGCACACAACCTACTTATCTGTAATAAGGGTCTTCCCCTTTGCTGATTCATAAGCCAGTCCGCAGACAACTGTTTCAGATGTACAAAGGGCACTGAATTTTATCTGTGTACACTGACAATCTGTATTTTTCATTAGGAAAAACACATACACTCAACAAAAAAAGAGAAAAGGGTGAAAGATTTCAGAGGCTATTCCGGTGTTTTTCTGTTAGCCACAAGATGGTGCAGAGCACCCACAAAGATGGACATAACATTACCATACCGATCTCTGCATTAGCCAGGATGGGCTTTTATTGCTCAGCAGTAAAGGACAGAAATCTCTGCTGAGGATCAGACTGCTATGGCTTCATGTCAGCTTCTTGTAGGGAGCATACTGTATAATGAGGCAATAGCAAAGCATTATCTGATGCTTTGCTCACTTATACCCAATACTGAATATATAGCAGGTTTTTGAATTGATTGTCAAGGGCGAGGTCATGAGCGCTCAAGCGGGCATCAGACAGTGTGCGGCTCACCCATATAGCACTGGCCAGGGCTGTAGATGATAACCTGGAGCTGGAATTGCGGGAAAAACCAACAGCTTTCAGGAGAGAGGACTTGGAGCCACCTTCTGCTGGGAGGTGTCAAATGTTATATATTGTCAACCCCAACCCCTTCTACAATTATGCTGACCACTGATATTCAGAAAAGTTATTAATGTTATTAATGCTTCTCCCATCAGGTTTTCTAGAGAGATTGATGTGACCACAGTTACTGTTTTAAATAGCTGCTTTGGGGACTGCACCTCTGCCTCTGTACTGCTGGTTTTAAACAGTGAGGACAAGGAACCCAAACAAACCAGGGAAGGGGGGGGAGCAACCGTTCTTTCAGACTTTTTTGTATTTAGATGTACTTTTTACCTTCGAGTTTTTAGCCTTGAAGTCTGTGTAAGACACAGGCATGAACATTTTGTCCTCAACTTTGTACACAGACAATAAAATAGAAACACGATGAGGACATCTCCCCTCCGCAAGGCTTCGGCTATCAAAAGAATTTGAAGCTGAGTCTTGCCCTAGTGAGCTCATGCTGGTGTGAGTGCATGCAGAGCTCATCCACCAGAGGTGCTGTGCGCTGGACAAAACAGACTCTGCCCTTGCTTGTGTGAGGAGGAGAGCAAAACTTATACCAGTATCACTCCACAGCTTCCTCTGAGCAATTTTCTGCTAGGGCCACAGAATGAGACCACCTTGCCTGCTGCTTAGATGCTAAAATGGCAGGTACTTTTTCCTCTGAAAACACAACTAAACTTATAAATTTACAAAGAACCACATGAACAATCCATTTCCGTTCCAGTGCTGCACCAAAATCAGTGTTTCTCTTGGGATCGGGTGTGAAAACACTTGTGTGTGTGTGACCGTATGTGAGAGTTCAGGGCAACTCCTGAGAAGGTGCAGAGAGCACCTGATGTCCTGGAAGATCTCAGAGCTGCCATTTTGCCTCAGATGCAGAGCTGTTACAATATAAGGTGGAATTTGAAGGTAAACACAAGATGCTGTGCAAAAGAACTTGCTAATCTCTTATACTGGTGGCAGGGGAGGGCATTATATGAGAGAAATAAAACCACTGTATCCCACTTCAGGCTTGAAGTCACAATCCCTCGAGTGGCTGTTCTTTCAGTTTATGTCATTAGAGAGCCCTGATCAAATTTGATTCTTGAATTATGTCAGGGCTCATCTATTATCCTTATTGCATGATAGATAATAATGCCAGGAAATAAAAATTATTCTCAACAGGAAGAACTAACCATAAGAACTATCAGGTAGCTGCTGTTTCCTTATAGAAAACATGTTTTTTAATAAATGTATCCTTTTGTTAAAAGTAATATATTTTTCCATTTTCACTCAATACATTCACTTTTTCATTTCAGGCATGTCTGTCTCTATAGAATGCAACAGCAAGATCCTAAAGTGATGATTACAGCCAAAACCTGTGATTTTATGTTCAGCTGATTGCTTTTGACCAGTTTGAGAACATCAGTAGCTTGCTGAAATCCTAGTGGAGTAAGTGAAAGTTTAATGAATTCACAAACAGCAAATGCATATCTGGAACATAAGCAGACCCTTTTCTACCTGGTAACATGTACCAGCCCTGGAATGGTTTGAGAGAGAGGATTAGCAGATGGAGACATTGCTGAGGGTTAACTGTTACACTAAGAATTTGGCTCATTTGTCCTTGGAGATGCCAAGTTTAGAAAAAAGGAAAAAAACAACTGTCTGTTGAATGGTTTATTAGACAGCTGCGTCTTAAGACCAATTTACAGAAAAGTAAGTGGTACTTCTAGTAGGCCTGAAAATGTAAAGTAGGAGGTAATGTTTGAAACTGTTACTGTGTGATGTCAGTCATCTGCAGGAGTTGCCTTTCTGGTGGACTTTGGAGAGGAAGGCGATGACTTTGGTTTTCCAGCTGTGTATTGAAGTGCATGGCTCTGGTTGCACAAAACACAAGCTTCACTATGTGATGACATGGACAAGGCAGCCATGCATCTTACAAAAGCAGTTTCTTGCAAGTGTGAAGTCTAAAAATATCCCCCAGATGGAGACATCCAGCAACGCAGTGAGAGCATGGAGGAACAGAGCTTGCAACATGCAAAAGTAGCAGCTCTCCTCTAGGCCCAGAAGAGGTATTGGGGGATCAACTGCAAGTGACTGAAGAAGCAGCCATAGCAGATCAATGCCATAGCAAGATCTGTGTGTGCAAGTTTCCCTGACTTTCCCACCTAGAGAGTGAGCAGTTCTGAGAGGTCTGCTCTATCCATCTTTCCTTCTAAGGGAGATGCTCAGGTTGGATATTACGTTTGCCTGGGGAGGGGACTGGGGCTTCTCCCCATCCCATGCTTTCGATCTGGAAGCGAAGGTACTGGCACAGAATATAGCACCAAATACAGCGATATCAGTGCATGGAGTGAACACCAGGCCTTACCATTACTTCGGCAGCATTTGGAGGATGCCAAAGGAACACAAGTTCTGCACTCAGGCTGTGCAAGTACAGGGATTTTACCTGGCACAAGGGAGCAGTGAAGGCATAAGTTATCACAGTATAACAAACAAATTACAGCATTACTGTGTTTTCATATGTGAAACCCGAGTTCCACACGTCCCTGGATAAAATTAGTCCTCTGTGAAGGCAAGTCCTCAGATAGCCTATACCCTCAGATAACCTGGCTATTACACATGGGAATCTACACTGGCTTTTATCAGCTGGACTGGGGAATGAAACACAGGCAGCCAAGTTCAGAGACTGCTGCTGCCACAGCTTTCCTTTCCCTCCTTGCACTACGGCCTGGCTCTGCCTACTGTACCCTTGCTTCCACTGCAGGTGCCAACAAGGCTGCAGGGCACAGGGACACGAGGATCCTTGGAAGTGAGGGAGTCTGAAATGGGAGCAGCAGTGGAAAAGGATTGAGGTCCCACTATGTGCAGGAGAAGTGCACCACATGAGACAACACACAAGGAGTTTTACTCTAGATCCCCCTTCCCTTGTGAGGGACCACTTCACAGGGGCGGTGTTGCACCACTGCAACAATATGGTGCAAACATGGTGCGAATTAGATCCCCTGAACTCCAAGCTGAAATACAAAAGGATTGGGAGAGGGTTGTGGAAAATGGCTTTTTTTCTTTCACTCACAGATGCACATGACAGCAGCATTGTTCAGGAGCGGGTTTGCTGCACACAGGCTGCGAGTTACACATGCAAAAAGCCTCTTTTCTGAACACAGGAGAACACCACAGGACCAGAATGACCTTGCACTAGTCTTCCCAGGCAACAGGTTTGCTCATAAAATCTGCATCAGAGACTTCCTTGCAATTAGGTCATTCAATCTTTGATCATTTTCCTGTTCCATAAGGTACAGAAAATATTTACATTCAACACGCAAGTTCTTTCTTCCATTCCTTGACAGCAGACCGCTTTAATTATATGTGTGCTGACAGGACTACAGAGAGATCCCATGTGACCGCAATGGAAGGGAAGAAAGCTTATCATCAGGTGACAGAAGAATGCCCTTATTGTTAGCGCCGATAGTTACAAATAAACCTTTCCAGTGTGTCATATACCGGTATCAATGTACCGCTCCTGCGGCACTGAGCTAATATGTTAATAAAGTAAGAACCAAGGAAGGACTGCATCTGAACTGCTTCCCCTGGGACACACGCACCTCAAGATTTGCCACGGATTAGCTGCATGAACTGTGAGCTGTGTGACACGCAATGCAAAGTATCCCAATTAATAAATGGGATAAATAAAGCTAATACGCTCAGAGAAGGATCCGTAAGCCTCCTTGGGTCCTCGTCTTCACTCCCTTACCCCCATTGCTGTTAGTAGTAATGCTGCAGTAGCTCCTAAGAGTCCTGAGCCACGCAGCAGGACTTGGTTGTGCTAAGTGCTGTGCAAACACAGCAGCACAAAATGGATTCTGCTCTGAAGAGATGAGCTCGCTTCCCAGCCTGGCTGCCACTGCAATAAGTTCAAGGCACAACTCCAGCTTTATTGCAGTGCAAGAGAGTTAGATCCTCCCAGTTTAAATTTGCACAGGAGAAAATAAAACAATTTCTTAGACTGCGATTTCTCATCACAGGGGGGTATTTTCATCAAGCCATCTCATTATTATTATTCAGGAAATAATCTGAACTTTTACTTGATACTGCAGCAACCCAGCTGCTCCAAAGATCAATACATTCTGCAGTGAAATAGGATATTATCTACATTGTAGGCCACAAAAAGTTAATCAGTAAGTACAGTGCAAAGCAAACAAGGAACAGGGGAGAGGAGGATCTTTACTCCTGGTAAAGAGAGGAGGTGCCGAGAAGCTGTCGTGCATGGGCAGCCCATGCAGGAAGCAGCCGTGTGCTCTGCAGGCACAGAGGAGGATGGGATGGAGGAAGGTGCCCTGCTTGTGGTGGACCAAAGGGTGTTGAACTGCCTCTGACTAGGCTTTTGTATATGAAGGGATAGCAGCTTTCCAGGAATATGCATCATTTCACAGGTTTCTGTGTAATTTCTGGTGTTGGTCATTTCTCATAACTACATCAGACACAGGCAAAACATGAAATTTGGAGTTCAGATACAAGCTCTGAGGCCATATATTGTGGTAGGTGTGTGATTTGAATCACTGTATCTACTACAGGTAAGTCACTGATGTATTTTAAATTGAAGCCTGTGCAAATAATTTAAAAGCACAGTTGACCCATGCACAGCTGAAGTTGTAAGGGAGTTAATGTGTAATAGATTTGGAAAACAAGGAGTATTTTCAAAGGATGCATTGTCTCTCTAAACACTGCAAATGTGATCTTCAATTCCTTCTGCAAACCCATCATTTCCTATAGCTCATTTTTCACACTAAGCACAAGTTTGGTATACGATTATTAATAAAAACTGACAATCAGTCCAATAGCTAACAAAGTGTGTTTCAAATTCCTTCTCATGGTCTGCCGTTTTTGGTTGATAGCATCTATCCCCGTGGTGCATCCTATCTCACTCTGCCCTGATCTTGCACACTTTTATGTGCCAATAACTACATCGAGTAAGCTCCTCTTACCAAAATACGTTGGTATGCACAGAATGGTAGCTCTGGGTTAATTCAAAGACTGATCCCAACATTAATGCGATACATAGATATTAATACAGTTATTTCACAGCTGTTACTGGTGGATTTTCACTGTAGAAAAGAAACCAACTCCTACCAGCTAAACAGCTACAGATAATAAATTTGAAAACAGAGCTGCTAAATACCATTTTGTGCCATTGCTTAAGCATAGTAGCAAGGTCTTCAGTCCTCTCAGAAGGACTTATATGCAGGATTTTCTAATGAACTCAGAGCAGAGCAATGCATAGAAATATCACAGGAGCTGTGTCTTAGCTCTTATAATGACCTTCACTATTATTTCTGCATCCACCACAAGTGCTAATGAATATTTCTTCCTTAACACCATTCTTCCCTCTTTAGAAAAGTGATGCTTCTGACCAGTCAATAGAGATCTATGGAAAATAAATATATGTATGGCTTGATATTTCTGAACTCATCCAAGAATGCCACCAGAACCCGAGTTCTTGACCAATGTGCCATTTGATAGCAATCGCTTTATTTTCCCCTAACTAAAATGGGGCTGCAGGCAGTTGGTTATCTCACAGATGAGCTGAAATAGATGCACTAATGCTTGCCAAGCTCTTCAGAATATAATGGTTACTTTGCATCTTGTTTCCTTTTTAAAAAGGGTAAAGGTGGGAGGTGTTGCATGGCCATTCACACCAGATAAGGTATTGAATAGATGTGTATATTATAATAATTAACCATCAAAATGCTTTCCTGTGATTTAATGAGTCCTTACTTTTAAAGTGAAAAAAACACTTGCAGAGATTTGCACCTTTGACAATGCTATTGTGCTCCTGTTTGTGGACTTACAGAGATAACCACCTTGATTACCCTGGAGATCTGGGTAGTAGGCTCCCTTTCTCACTCTTTATAGAAAAGATTTTGGATTCTATATAAAACAGCAAAACAAAGAGAAATCCAAGGGCAGAAACTGAATTCTCAGGAGTTTTTATGCCTGACTGCTTGTTCACTTGTTTTTGTTGTGGCTTTTTTTTTTTATTATAGGCTTTTGCTTGGGGACCTGTATTTTTATCATACTGAGCTGCACTTTGAGCATCTACTTCAGAGCTGCTGGAAATGGCTGGGGGGAGCAACAGCCTGGTTGCTTTGGGCCAACAAAACCCCTTCCCTCACCTTGGAGTAAGCTGCTTCACATCCCGGCACTAGTCAGAAGAATGAACATAAACACGTACAAAGTGTAGCACACCATCAGCGCTGGCAGGTAGCACATTAAGTCTGGGATCCATGCTCGTTATCAGATTCAGGCACATCTAGCTCAGCAAAATTTGATCCAGATCAGGCCTTGGCACACAACTGCATTTCCTTCTATTGTGACTGTAAATGCACTTCACAGGAGTTTCTACTGACTTTGTATTTTCACTCTGAGGACGGGCAACTTCAAATCCAATATAAAGCCTGCAGGTACCTTGTTAACTCACCACCATTTTTCTTGAACAGACGCAAGCAAGCAGAATGAGCTGATACCAGAGCCATGCTTTGCAATAGGTGGTCGCAGCAGTCTCAGTTGGTAGCAGGAGTTGTAAAGCTGGATTTACGTCTCCTTGGACTGCTGCCATAAACGTAACCTCATGCTCTGCCACAACTACCTTAGGCTTCCCTGCTTCCTTTGCTCCAGATTTCAAACAGAAGACATTCATGGCATGAATACACCTGACACAGAGATCTCACGCTTTCTGCTGGACACTGTCACCGAAATACCACTCTGATAACCTTGACCTTACCCGGGCAGCCCCCTTCACAACAAACAAAACTGCTGTTTTGGTGGGATGTGTGCCAGGAGCTTGCCTGCCCAGCCACAGCGATCTGTGCTTGTGCCCTGAAACACCCCCACCAGATCCCTGCAGCACATACCTGACTTAACTGAAAATTTTTCATCTTCTCATTGATTAGCTATCACGAGGAAGGAACAGCATAATCGATGAACTGCTCTGTTGTTTTCAGTGTATGCAGCCCTTATAGAAATACTACTATTTTCAGATTTATTATTTTATTTTCTGCTTTTATTGTCTCTCTCTGAAGGAATGCTGCTTTGTAAACAAGTGCATCAAAGCCATAATACACCAACCCAAGGTATTTTCCTATTTTATTTCCCTATAAATGATTATTGCCGCAAAAGTGACAGTCACCTAGGCAGTTATATAACTATTAGTAATACATGGTTCAATTATAATAATACTCAAACCCTACATTTATGATGGGACTGTGTTGTTCAAGACCCTGGAAACCCACAGAAATGTGTAAGTGTGTGTTCCACAGCACTCCCAGAAGTTGCCATACGTGTTCTTCATGCTGTTCCTCAATTTGTGGTATTGCATTTAATTTTCAATTTACAGGCCCAGTACTAACATACTTTGCCAATTTCTGGTACAGATGCAATTCAGCTATTTGAAAATAAACCCTCTCCATAATGATATAATTTGAATAAGCATACCCATCAAAATATCTATTTGGACGTACTTCGGTTCAGGCTTGTATAATCTGAGCAACAGACAAACACATTATAGATCCTGTTATTTTTAACTAAAAGAAAAAAACTGGTGCTTCTTCCCTTGGTGCTTCTAATTACTTAGCATATACCCAATTGAGAGAGCAGCCAAAGACAGATAGGATGGAGCCATTGCCTTTTCACATTACTATATTACTGTTTGCTCTGCAAATGTGTCCTGGTGACGAATGAGGAAATCCTGGTTGCATATTGCATTTTGTGCGAACACCCCAAAAAGTTTTGATTGCATTTTGCAACCTGTGTACGTGACATTATTTCGAAAAACTAGGTGAAACATTTCACACCCTGGAAGCAGGGGGCAAGGGTGAGAGGGGGCAATTGCTGGCTCCAGATGTGAGCACATGGGGCAGAGGCTGCCATTCCCTTCTTTGGGGGCAGAGACTGCCATTCCCTTCGCAAAGCTGCAGCATGGAGGCGTCAAGGCAGCACCCCAGCCCAGAGCAACCCTGGCAGCAGAGCGCCAAGCAAGCTTCCCCAATACCTTGTAATTTCTGGCTGTACTCTGTCCTGTCGGACTGACTCCTCCTCAAGGTGCCGTGGTCCCCGGCGGCGGCAGTGCTCTCCACCACGGGCTCAGTCCTCCTCCTCTCCCCCATGTACAGCTTGTTCCTCAGCAGGGCCAAATTCCTCCTCCTGCCCCCAACGCCTTCTTTCCCCGGACAGTCCGTGCTCGCCATGGCCAGCCTTGCGTGGTGGTGACAGTGGCAGAGGAGGTAATACCTTGATTTTTAAGGAGGTAAACTCGTTGCCCAGGTGAAGGTTGGTTGCTTGGGGCTTGGTTTTGGAGCAGGGCTCCGCAGGGCCGCCCCGGGCTCAGCCCTGCCACCTGTGCCGGGGCGGCCCCACCCCCGGGAAGCTGACGCCCCGGGCGGTGTTTGCATTCACCTGCCTGTGTGCAAGCAGGCCTGGCGGGGCCGGTTTCAGAGCCAGCCCCAAAACCGCGGCCGTTCACAGCCCGCTTTCCCCGCTTCACCCCGCCGCGGGGCACAGGGTGCCGGCACCCCGAAGCGGAGCAGCATCCTCCCAGCTCGGCCTGGGCCACCTC